GTGCAAACATTACATGTTTATATTTTATGATGGAATTTGCAAGTAATTTTACCATTATTATCCCCTCTTAGAAATGAAACACATTTGCTCCAGCCATAGTCATCAAATTTTTAGTTTGCTAAGTTAAAGATTTTTCAATAAAAAATTGTCTATCTCCAAGATAGTATGTATTGTTGGAGAATCAATGAATGCATCATTTGACTCATTATTAGAGGTTTTGTTATTCATATAAGCTTTTAAATCATCAATACCAATTGAGTCTATGGATGTATCCATAGTATGAACTCACGAGCCTCAGCTTGAAATTTCTTATTTTTTTAGAATATTTTAAAAAAATATTCTAAAATATGGTATGTATGTGCTAAATATCCAATCTATCCACATTTATGGCAAGAATGTATTTCTAATTTTTTTTTATTGTAATTAGTTATAAAATATTTATTCTTTCTAAATGGGTGGAAATGGTCACAACCATGATTGACTTGATGCTTATGAGCACTTTTTTGATGTTTGTATAATTTTTTCTTAGACTTTGAAATATTAAGTGCATGAGATTTTGGAATTGTGGTTCTAATAGGACGAGCTTTCACATTATGCAAGAGTAGTTCATTTTATTTCTCTACAAGAAGTAGATATGACATGAAATCAAGATGACTTTGAAATTTTATGTTTCTATATTGTTGTTCTAACACAACAAATGCAAGAAGAAATGTAGAGAGAATTTTTTCAATCATTTCTTCTTCAGAGATGCTTTGTCCAAACAATCATAGTTATAAAACAATACAATACATTTCACTCTTGAAAGCATTTAAATTTTAAAAATCCAAGACACATAAATATATTCAATCATAATATGCATGTAAAAGAAAAATAGTCTTTTGATGATCAAATGTTGATTTAAGATTCTTTCAAAGCTTAGATAGATCTTCTATCTCCTAATATTCATATTGTAATGTAGGTATAAGATGACGATGTAGGAAAAGAAGTGCTTCCAAATGAATACTAAGAAGGATTGAAGTACTTACAGTAAGAGATTCTTCAAAGAGAATTGCATCCAAGAATTATTTTGCAAATAAATTTGTTTTTTTTTATTTTTATCAATAATAGATAATTATTTCTATCGGCAGCCAATAATAGAAATAGAAGAGCTTGAAAATATTGAGATATAGTGGTGATAATTGGAAACATAGTAGAAGTAGTTGAAGATGTTGAAGCACTCATTATAAATATATCTATAAACAAAAAATACAAGATCAAGTAGAAAAGATTGAATAAAATATACCTTAAAATATAAAGTCAAATAAAACGATTAAGTTGAACTTTAAATCAAAAATATTAAAAACTTGAGAAGATTTTTTTTTTTTTTTTTTTTTTTTTTTTTACAAAAATAAGGATCTACGGTAGACTATGGCAATTGGTGACAATGTGCGGCAACTCAATAGCAGGGTATAGAAGTTGGTATCAGGATGCAGCAGTCGGTGGTAAGATACAATAGACGGTGACAAGGTGTGACAATTGGTAGCAAGATGCTACACAACATAGCATAGCATAACAGTAGCAACAATATAACAATAAGATAGGACATAGCACAGCAACACATCAGAACAATACAATAGTAAGATAGGGTGCAATACAGCTTAGAAGCATTGTATAGCAATAGTAACAGCATATTAGCATGAAAGAATGCAGTACAGTAGCAATACAACAACACAGCATAACAATAAAATACAATAATAGCAGCAATAATAGAGTAGGGAAAAAAAAACGATGAGAAAATGAAGAATAAAGTACAAATAAGTTTTTAAGAACAAAGACTAGTGTATAAGAGCAATTGTGCTAATAACGTTGTTGTATTGTGACATGATTATATGGTGAAAACATGACTAAAAATGATTTTTTTAATTAATAGTCTATTATCTTAGTTCAACAAAAATTCAACATATTTTAATAAGGCTTTTATGAAAGCCTCTTAGCCTATTTTCTTATCTTAATAGCAAGTAGATAAAAGTTAATTAGTATTTTTACCTTCTAGGATATAGAAACTCTTTTATTGCCTAAGAAAGGCCATAAATGGTTAGTATGGTTGATACTAGGATTAAGTTAAGAGTAGGATTGGGCTAAAAAATCCTTAAGATAGATTAGATTGATACTTGAGGGTCGACCATTTGTGAGACAAGGTCGAAATCAAACCCTTAGTCATTAAAATAACTGCCTAGGATAAATTAGGATTTCATTCAAAGATCAAAGATTAGAATTTGAGAGCTAGGTTAGAACTTCTCCTAGAGATGTAAGGTTGGTTTTGGTAGGATTTGGAGAGAATTAACAATTGTTATTAGAAGTCAAGGTTTGTATTAGCAACTTGGGATTTATACAATGAAATTAGGGCTAGAACTCTTGGCTAGTTCGTAAAATTGATATCACATCTATAGTTAAAATTTTGATAGTGCTTGGATAATTAGGTGTTCTAAGTGTATGTAAAATTTTTTAGTAATTCAACGGTGCGATTGAGAGATATGTAGGTTTTAGTACAAGTACATATCAAAAATTTCTAGTTTGGAGTTGAATAGGATTTCTATGATATCTAGAGATCTACTAGTTAGATCAAAGTGAAATTTTGCATGGTGTTGAAAAACTTGAAGATCAAGGTGTAAACCAATTTTGAGTCAAAGTTAATAGTTAGAGAAGGAAAAATCACTTTTGGAATTTTTGCTTCACCTTTCAAGTTAGCATCCAAGTGACATCAGTGCAATTTTTTGGAGGTTTTTTTACAATTTGTAAGTTAGATTAATTTGAAATTTCTTAATCGTATGGAAGACTTATATTGACAATTGCATGCAAAATTTTACATCAAGTGGACGGTCAGATTAGAAGTTATAGCTTGTCAAACCTCACTAATTAGGATTGGAGCTTACGAGAAAAATCTAAATTGCTTAAATATGAAAGTAATAAGGTAATTAAGGATTATGTGTGAACGAGGCTACTAAAAAGAATACTTTTTAGTACTTTTGAATCGGTATTTGGATTATATTCTTCTCATATAGATAAAACCTATTAGGATTTCTTGGATATTTGTGAAATACAATCTCACCTTCTACAACTAGGTGCCCCATGCATTCCCAAGCAAGACAACACGTAATATGACAGAAGTGTTGAGAATGTTTTAAAGAGAGACACAAGAACAACTAGAAATAATGTACATACACATACAAAAACACAGACACACACATACACAAGAGGGAGTATATTAATGAGATAACTACATTAATTTATACAAAGAATAGGGGAGAAAATAAATAGTTTCTCTCCACTACATTCCAAACAATGTAGCAACAATATCTATTGTAAACTACCATAAATACTATAGAGAGCGCCGGCTACATTTAATGCTCTCAACAGATACCATATATAACAATCTTCTTGGCTTATTCCTACCCTCAGGGAAGTCCCTATGATACCCGGCAGGATTAGTATTACCGCCCAGCGGCCCCGGGACCAATCGAGCTCATCTCAAGTCTCCTCCTAGCACGAAGGAGAAGACTAGACCCGTCTCACAACGAAGTCATCCCTGGGTCAGCCAAGACTTCCGTCCCAGTACCATATCCTCCGAAACTCAGCCCCTGCGGTGTCTTTGTATCGGGAATTGAGGCTCCACCCTTCCACACCTATAGTCCCTCACCTCTGAGCGCCCCATGGGCTTCGGCGCGGCCAAGACTCATAGTTTGGATTCTTTCCACCAAGTAGGATGAGGGTCGATTAGAACCCTCACAATAGCCCTCACGCTTAAAACAGTTGTTCAAAGCCACATGGAAATCTTTCATACACAACTTCGCTGCCCAATTGATTTTGTGATTGCCGCGAAATTCCCACGGTCAAGTCTTGTGCTTCCTTGTGCTTGCTGCCGTCCAACGCTCCAAGAATCTACAAAGAGATAACAACCGTTAACGCTGCACGAATATGAGGCGGCTCCGACCGATTATCTACAATTTGCACAATCTTCAACTCGATTCCCTTTTCGCAAACCTATCGAATTAGTATCCAAACGCGGACGGATTATTCAGTCTCAACTCCGCGTCTTGCAACTATCTGTAGCACCTCATCACGACTGAGTCTATTGGATCATAAACTGGAGTTGACTGAGTCTCACATCAAATACATCAACCGAGTGTAAAACTCCACAACGCCTTCGACATCATCAGGAATGTGCCGTACTGCTGACGACGCAAGTTCCCCTTCATCAAAACTGTTTCACAGACAAGATGCAAGATGACTCAGGGATGGAAGCAGGTATTACTGCAGGGTGGGTGCGGGCGGTAAACGCCGTAACCACGCTCCAGGAAACTACTGGACCTCTGCTGCTTGAAATGGTTGCAACTTGACCCGAAATATTCAACATGTCTCTGAATGGTAGTTCATCAATTGCTTGCTGGAACCGTCGCCGAGGTGACCGCAGCGGATAAATACGTCGACCCTCACTGAATCTGCACCTCATCTTTGGATTTGCACTGAATTTTCCGAGGAAAAGTGGATAGTTTCGAACTTTGGAGGGGGCTCCCTAGGCTCTCAGGAGGAGACACAGCTTGCAGTGGCCTGAAACACGTTGATAGGATTTCTTGCATTGAAGCGTACTGGTGTCGCCTAAACCTACGCTGCACGAATTCCCCAACCTGGTGACATGGCCAGGAGTTTGGTCGCTGAGATGAACCTTGCGATGAGGCGCTTTGTTTTCTTTCTGGCCTTGACATGTCTGACTCTGCGTGGGACGGACGGCGCGCCCCACGGGAGCAGGACGTACATCGTGCACATGAAGAGGAACACCTCCCATCACAGCGTTCTTGATAAATCCGCTTGTTACGTTGGGATGATGCAAAGAGCCACGGAGGTCCTTGCAGAGGGCCACCCCGACGACGGCATGGACTGCCTCCACCACGTCTACGACCACGTCTTGGACGGGTTTTCGGCCAGGCTGACGCTGGCCGGAGCAGGCCGAGTTCATGGGAAAGATGCCTGGCGTGAAGGGTTTGTACCCCGACCTACCCGTCCAGCTTGCTACCACCCGCAGCACTGAGTTCCTGGGATTGGCGAGTGCGAGCGGGAGGTTGTGGGCGGACGGCAAGTCCGGAGAAGATGTGATCATCGGAGTGATCGACTCCGGAATCTGGCCAGAGCGGTTGAGCTTCGACGACCTCTCGCTCGGGCCGATTCCTGCGAGATGGAACGGGGTGTGCGAGGTCGGGACCAACTTTACGGTTTCGAATTGCAACAGGAAGATCATCGGCGCCCGCTTTATATTCGCGGGTCGTGAAGCGGACAAAGGCAGACCCATCGAGGACGGCGTCGAAGATTACAAGTCCCCGCGTGATATGATTGGCCACGGCACCCACTGCGCCTCCACAGCAGCTGGCATGCGCGTTGCTCGAGCAGTGAGCCCTACTGGGCTCGCCGGGGGAACGGCAGCGGGGACGGCACCCAAGGCGCGAATTGCAGTTTACAAGGCTTTGTGGGGACCGGAAGGACGTGGATCTTTGGCTGACCTTGTAAAGGCGATCGATTGGGCGGTGACGGACGGGGTCGATGTCATATCGTATTCGGTGGGTGGAGTGACTGGAGAATACTTTACACAATATTACCCGATGAACGTTGCTATGTACAATGCCGTCAAGCAAGGAATCTTCTTCTCAGTAGCTGCGGGAAATGATGGCTCCGCCCCGGGGACGGTCTCCCATGTGGCGCCGTGGGTCACTACAGTCGCAGCTACCACTCAAGATCGCGACATCGACACGAATGTTGAGCTCGGCGATGGGACGGTTCTGAAGGGACGATCCGACTACGACGGGACTGCGCTGGCTGGGCAAGTCCCTCTGGTGTTGGGGGGTGACATTGCTGTCAGTGCTCTCTACGTAGACAACGCCACTTTCTGCGGGAGAGACGCCATCGATGCGTCGAAGGCCTTGGGCAAGATCGTACTGTGCTTCAAAGATGACGTCGAGAGGAATCAGGAGATTCCCGCCGGGGCCGTAGGGTTGATTTTAGCCATGACTGTGGGAGAAAATTTAAGTGTTTCACACTTGAACATCCCGTACACAAATGTGGGCAATAAGGCCGGCAAAACCATGGTGTCTTATATTGGTTCCACAGCTGCACCCACGGCAACTATTCATGGTGCCAAGACAGTCCTGGGCGTGAAGCCGGCGCCCAAGGTGGCGGGCTTCTCCAACCGAGGCCCCATCACCTTTCCCCAGGCGCAGTGGCTGAAGCCTGACATCGGTGCTCCAGGGGTGGACATTCTGGCAGCAGGGATCGAGAACGAAGATTGGGCTTTCATGACTGGAACCTCCATGGCGTGTCCTCAAGTGAGCGGCATCGGGGCTTTGATAAAGGCATCGCATCCCACATGGAGCCCGGCCGCCATCAAGTCGGCCATGATGACCTCCGCCTCTATCGTGGACAACACCGGTAACATCATCACACGTGACGAATCCGGCGAGACTGGCACATTCTTCGACTTCGGAGCAGGGTTGGTGCGCCCCGAGAGCGCTAATGACCCAGGGTTGATCTACGACATGGGGACGACTGATTATTTGAACTTCTTGTGCGCGCTCCAATACACTCCCGAAGAGATCCAGCATTATGAGCCCAACGGACACGCGTGCCCCACTGCGGCGCGGGTGGAGGACGTCAATCTGCCCTCCATGGTTGCTGCGTTTACGCGGTCGACACTGCCTGGGGCATCCGTGACCTTCAACCGAGTAGTGACGAATGTGGGAGCTCCAGATTCCGTCTACACCGCCAACATAATTGCACCCGCGTATTTTGAGGTTGCTGTCGAGCCCGCCACAATAACGTTCTCCGCTGCAGCACCGACACAGAGTTTCACGTTAACGGTGTCACCAAACACGACTGCGCCGGTTCCGGCAGGGGTAGCGGCAGAGCATGGCGTCGTACAGTGGAAGGATGGTGTGCACGTCGTGCAAAGCCCGATTGTCGCTATTGTTTCTGCTTCCTAGATTGTGCGCACTAGGGTCGTGCCTTGTAACCACAGACGTCAGTGCCATCAGTGGCCGACATCGGTCCAGCCGCGGATCCGGTTGAGAATGGAAGGATTTTGGAACATTCTAGACAAATGAATGCAAAGATCAGTCGGTGCAAAAGAGAAGAGCGTCTGCTCTCCCAGAAGCCAAGAAATGCGAGTGCACCATTGGTGTCCAGTAAGCGTTGGTGACTGTCTTGCTCACCGCAATATGAAGAGCCGTTCGTGTGTGCAGTTTTAGTATAGGTTTGCTAGTGATCTGTGCGCATATTTGCACCGGAGCCGGAGGATCAGGGGGGTATACAAGAAAACAGAACAGTTTCAGTGTTCACATTGTGGTGATAACAGAGAGTCGCACCCTGTCAAGGGGGCACAAGCCTTCTACTTAAACCAAAGTGTTTTAACACAACTTTTAATAAGAAATATTACTACTCGTAAAAGAACTATTTAACAATCCCAAATTCAAATTATTAGTTCCAAAATGGTAATAGAGAATAATTTTGAAAGCTTCCAAAAACAAGTTTAAGAAAAGCAGTAATAGCAAGCTCAAAAGTAGGAAGTTGTAATGAAGACCTTCCACATAGAAATTGAGCCAAGCAGACTTCTTTCTTCAAGAGCATGGTTATTAATAGCCTCATCACCAAAGAATGGTCAATATTCAATGATTTTTGGTACACCATCTAGAAACAAAAAATCTAAATGAAATTTGAGATAGAAAAAATGTAGGATTTAATTTTAGGAACAGAAAAAGAACCAACACATATTTCAGAGCTAAATGCAATAATATAACCACCAATAAATCAAATTGCTATTGTTACTTTAAAAAAAAAGATCATATTGCTCTTGCATCCATTTGGGTATCATGGACATACATACTTATTCTAATAATTACTGTAATCGTTGTTTGACTCGGACTCAAAACACCAAGATATTTGATCAGTATAGGTGGGTTCGATCTCAGGGAAAGACTCGTTGTATGAATTAGATATGTTATGTCACAATTGATTATGTATTAATTATTTAAAACTTCCAAAGTTCTCTTTCTCATCTCAATTCAATCCCTTCACAATCTCTACAATCGTTCACTGCCCTGCAGCTACTCAATATCACTGACATTCCTGACATCTACAGGATGCTTAATCTCTTTCTACAGTACTTCAATTCTCAATTCCTTTACTTTTACTCAATCTTCCAGTGCTACTAACACAATGCAATAACCTCTATTATCACAATCACACTTTCTTTCTCCAAATTAATTAATTCGAATTCATAATTTTCAATATCTCAATCACAGTTTCAGCAATCCTTTTCTTAAATCCAATACTAAAGAAAAACACAAAAGCAAAGAAAACAAAAGGGTAGCTCCAAGCTTTACCATGGCTCACAACTATCACAGTCTGGCCTCCATTCCTTCTTCCTCAACCTCTTTATCCTACCAAAATATGAATTGTCATTCAGCAGATTCCACAGGTTGTGAAACTTTGGCTTCTTAACCGCATATGTTCCTAACTTCCTACTATTAACAACTAATCCAACTAACCATTCATCTAAATCCCAACATTACTATTATTTAACCGATAACGAAGCAGAAAAGTCATTTATACATTCTACATAGCCCCACTCCTTACTGTGCAGCGTCCTCGCAAACCACCTCGTACTACGTTTTACAATATCACCACATCATTGGCTTTCTCCAATGTCTGAACCTCTGGTCCGCCTTGGTCCATTTCATCATTTCCATAAGTGAGATTGGTTTCGACTTCTTGAGCTTCTTCTCCAACTCCCTCTCCCACCTGCTCTCCGTTCAATAAAGCTGTCAAGTCCTCGTTAAGTGCTCCCAATTCCCGAACCTGAGACTCCAAAAGAGCAATTTGGGTGTCTCGCTCTTTCAGCTGCTCCTCCAGGGCATGCACCTGTTTCTCTAATTCCCGTAAAGATGTACTTGCTGGATTGACCTCTCGTTGCTGCGTGGTAACTGTAATCATTTCTGCCTCCAATTCGGCAATCCTTCTCTTCAATTGCTCGTTCTCCGTCTTTGAGCTCTCCGATTGTCTCCGAAAATCGTCCTCTAATTTGGATCTCCCGGCTTCCAATTCCGCCACCCTATTCTTCTCCTCCTGGTATTGGTTCCGCAACTCCATACACTCCTGCTTGTTAAGCTCCATCAGACTCTTTGCCAACTTGTTCTCCTTAGCCCATTCCGCTTGGGTCTCCTTGAATTGGTGCTCTAATCTTGAATATTTGAGAGCGTCCGTTACTGAAGCACGTTGTAAATCCTCAATCTTCTTCTTCTGATCCTCAATGATCTTGTCCTTCTCCTCCAGTACCTGTCTAAGGCTAAACTCATTGTCCATTTTCTCAACGGCCATCTGTAATTGAGTAATTTGTGCCGAGATTAACTCCTTGAGTTCTCTTGCCTGCTGGCCAGCTCCCGATAAACCCACCCGTTGATAATACTCTACCAGTACTTGTGGAATGACGGCCATATTGGTACTGGGAGGATCCAATTCTCTAGATGACGAGCTGACATTGGTCCGTTCGCAATTTCTAGCTTGGCTGTACTCTGCTATCGCCGCTTCGTCGACTTGTTTTGATGGCAATGGCGTTGACTCTACTCTTGTCTCTGTTGCTACAGCGTCTAGTCTCTCCACCATTGAAGGTTGCTTCAGTTGATATCTAATTGCTTCACACACGTAGTTGGAGCATAACATCGTGGTAACCTTCCCTGTTCTTCTTTTCACGTCCAATTCCGCATGGATTCTGGTCGCAACATACGTTGCCCAGTTGAAGACCATCCCCTCTAGCGTCGCAATTGCTGAAAACAATAACCTCTTTGCCATATACATTGAATGTCGGTTCAGCCCTAATCGCTTCTGCACAAACCGCATCCATTCTCCCAGCTCCGGCGTAAGCGCATCCGCTGTCTTCCACCCTTGATTTTTCTCAAACGCTTCGTTTCCCGACTTGAAGTACTTGCTTGGAACAAAATCAGACTCCAAGTCTCCCGATACTGGTAGCTCACCCATGGGAAGATATAGAACCTTGTTCAACGTCACCTCATCTATACCAATAATTCTCCCATGAACCACACTAGACCCGTCTTCCGGATCATAATTCGTCACATATTCCATTAACAATGCTATATCTATTGGTGGTAGCCTCTGCGAAAACTTCAGAAACCCATACATCTGCGTCGTGCGAAACTCTCTCTGTCTCCTTTGCGACCAAAAAATGTCCATAGCGACATGCTCCATGCTGGTCACAATCACGCACTCCATTGGTGGCAATGCTCTCTTCGTCTTGACATTACGTTGTCGCTCCTCTCTCGTAGTTGTCCTCTTCTTACGCTCAATCACCATCTTCGCTATTCATGATAATCCTCTAAAACCTGTGCTTAGCAACGTGAATCAAGAAATTGCAATGTAAACAATGCCAGCCAAGAGCCCCACTCCTAACTTCTACCCTGGTTCTCCTCCTGATATGACTTAACCTAACAGGCCTATAACAACCTATCCTATTAGTGTCTTCCTGACGGCTCACCTTCACTCAACTCGTCCATAATCTCATCATCACACGCTCTTCCCTTCCCATCACAACTCTTGCGCTGTCACTTCAATACTAAATTGGCTTTTTCTCTCCCCTCCACCGATATAAAACCCGTCCCGGGTTTATGTAGTATACAAATGTAGCCGATTCCCATTTATACGCGTGGTAAATTTAGCACCCATAAAGTCTTCCAATTGGACTGAGCCATTGGAAAAACCCTCAATGACTGTGTACGGCCCATGCCATCGAATATAAAATTTTCTTAGAAAATTTTTAAAACGACTGTCATAAAGCAGTACCAAATCATTGGGCATAAAAAATTTTGGTTTTAATTTACTATCATAATAACTTTTCCGTCGCCTTTGAGTGGCCTCCTGTCTCAATAGGGCATTGATTCGAGTTTCATCCAACTGCTCCAATTGTGCGAAACAAACTTGTAACGACTCCGTATCCCCCAATCGTTCCTCCAGTGCAATGTGCAAACTTTGAACTTCGAATTCGATAGGTAATATTGCTTCCTGACCATAAACTAATTGAAAGGGTGTGACATTAGTCGTAACTTTATATGCAGTACGGTATGCCCACAAAGCGGCAAACAATTTAGTATCCCAATCCGTGCCTGCACCAGATATTGTCTTGGTGATAATTATACATAATATGCCATTGGTCTTTTCTCTTTGGCCATTTGCTCTGGGATGATATGGTGTCGTCTTGCGGTGTTTAATCTCATATTTAGCAGTCAATGCTTCAATTGTACTATTAATGAAATGGGTTCCTCGATCACTGATCAATTCTTTTGGACAGCCAAACCATGTAATAATATTTTCATATAAGAATGTGGCTACATCACTAACACTATCAAATTTTGTTACCTTCGCTTCGGCCCATTTGGTAACATAGTCAGTGGCAACTAATATATACCGTTTTTGTCCCTGGCGAGAGGCAGGTGCAATTGGGCCCACGAAATCAATACCCCATTTTTCAAAAGGTGCCTGTGCCAGAATTGGAACTAACGGCATCGCGGATGTACCCGTAGGACGACCAATTCGCTGGCACGGGTCACAACGACGTGCAAACTGGTGAGCATCCGCAAACATTGTTGGCCACCAATATTCCGCCTGTAAAACTTTGCGTGCTGTGCTGTCGCCTGCAAAATGTCCACCACAACTATACAAATGACATCCTTCCAATATAGTGCGTGCTTCATTCTGATAAACGCAACGGCGTAAAATTCCGTCTTTCCCTTGTTTATATAAAGTTTCTCCAATCATAGTATAAGGTGCGCTTTTCAAAACCAATCTTCTCTTAAGCTTCTCCATAAAATGGAAAGGAAAAGTTTGAAAAGTCAAATACTGTATCAATTCGCTATATTCCGACGTAATTAGGTCGACAAGAAATAACTCAGCGTCAGGTAATGCATCAGGAATGGGT